ATCATACCATCCAAAAGCCATCAAAATCGGTCTATATCTTCTATGTGATGATCAGAACTTTTCGATACCCCCTCGTATTTACTTTCAAGTCAAGCAAAAGATGGTTTCATGTTTGTGCATCCAGGTGCGCGGACTATAGACTGTAAGCGCTGCGTACACCTGTCACCATTGGCGGATAGAGGTGAGTGTGTAATGTGCATGCTGTCAACTAAACCTATTTCTGATTCGGATCGAGACTGAGCCATTTTTGTAACGCAGGTAGAGACAAATTGCATGCATTCCCTAGTGGAAGCGGTTAAAGCAATCTTGGAAGCGGTGTCATTGTTGAAAAGTTAGATGAAATAGGGTTTTTCATTCAGAGAGTTTTGCCAGCCCTGTTTGTGTTGTTTGTGTCTCACTTTGTGAAGGATTTAAAAGTTGTATTGCTTTTGAATCACCTCGGCAAAAGTGCAAGCCTGGAGCTTTGTGTCACCGGTGATAGAGAGAGAGAGAGAGAGAGAGAGAGAGAGAGAGAGAGAGAGAGAGAGAGAGAGAGAGGAGAGAGAGAGAGAGAGAAGAGAGAGAGGAGAGAGAGAGAGAGAGAGAGAGAGAGAGAGAGAGAGAGAGAGAGAGAGAGAGAGAGAGAGAGAGAGAGAGAGAGAGAGAGAGAGAGAGAGAGAGATGGCGCCGGGCGTGCGGCTGGCGTGTGTCATATTACCATGTGTGTATCGGCACTCGCTCGTATCCGGTCACATTACAGTGCTCCGGGCACATGGATCAGGTGCCTGTAATAAGAAACGTCCAGCGCAGCCGTTCACTGGAACACTTTCCTTGCAAAGACGTCTAGCGCGGGTTCTAGCCAGAACATTGGTTCCTGAAGCCGGAGACATCTAATCTTCCACAGTTCCTGAAGCCAAAGACGTCTATGTAATGTAGCTGTTCACAAGAACATTGATTCCTGTGTACTATAAATGTGTAGCCAGAAATGTCTAACATGGCTGCTCGGTAGAACATCCACCCGGGTGGAGTATGTTTTTGCTATACATACGGCAGAAAAAAAAATGAGACACTCCCGGTCACCCGGCTGATGACGGATGTCGGTGCACTTTGGCACGCGGTCAGCTGCGATGATGACTGTTTGTTGGGTGGCCATCAGTCCCCGTGTTGTATCTCGCTGACGACAGCCATTACGGGGATCGCTTAGGCGACCCGGCAACGCGCGAGGGATGGTCCATCATGGCCGCGGCGCATATGCTACCGGGGATAGTCCGTCAATGCACGGGCGCCGCGCAAACCCGACGTGTTCTTTTGTCCTGCTTGAGAGCAGCTGTGTGGACCCGATGTTGTCTTTTGTCTGGCTTGAGAGCAAAGTGTTATGGACATTCAGTGTAGTTCTAGGGTCTAAATACATAGTGTGGCAGAACCGCATAATTTCTTTGATAAATGCTAGGCATTGATAGTGACAACTATCTGACGAGAAGTGACGGCCATGAGTGACTTGGCAGAAGCGGATAGTGCAGTATAGATAAATGGTAACAGAAGACAAAGTGGTATAGCACAATAATGGTAGAATTCATAGCATAAAGTTAAAGCAAAGGGGTGAGACAATAGGGTTTTAACCCATTGTTGGTGTGAAGGTATATATCCTCACTAATGAGAGAAATACGGAGCAGAATAATATGTTCAATGGTTGTATGACTAAAAAATGCAGGAGTAAATAGTTGAAAGACCTGTGAATAGCATTTCCCGAGTCACGATGATATGCATTGGGCCGGAATAGTTATACAGTCAACAAGCCATCTATGCACTCAGAAGCTATGTATGACATAGCATGCAGCTTCTTTTGGATGCTCCCGCAGGGAGATTGGCGAGCGTGATCAAAATACAGGCAATATGCTCAAAATCTACATATGTGACTCACATGCCCATACATTATTTAAGAGCCAACTGCAGAACACCGATAAGTGGGAGATGTACTTACATATAGATTAGATATACGCGGGAGATATCTCTGGTGAGTGGTGAACCACCAGGCTTTTGTCATTTTCTGAGACCAAGTCAGACTCAACCAACCAGAGAATGACCAGAAAATGACCAGGTCAGCTCATTCTCTGACCAACTTCAATCCTCTTTAGCAAAGGACACACCACCCTGAACCGATCAGATTGAATCCGACCTCGAACTTAGGTGAGCACTCATTTTTAGCGTTTCCCATAAAAGTAGGTACATCGTTCGACGCTGCAGGACATTGAAACCACGATGACAACAAAATTGTTAGTCTGTGATCGCCTACCCACACATCTCTACTGCATGCTTGAAATATTTCGGCGTTTTCAACGCCCTTCTCTAACGATCTGCGCTTGAAGATAGCGTTCAGTCGACTGCACATTGATTTTCACACGTCAGGTGCCTCAGATGAATGGGTTTCCACTCGGCGTCAATCGGCATAAAATCGCGCTCGGCGGCTCCCCTGCGGCCGGTCGGGCCAAGTCGCCTGCGCGCGCCTGCACGTCAGGGCGGCGCCCGGTGTCAGGGGGCTTTTGCGGACCAGTCACGCCGTCGGAGACCTTTCAAGAGTGCACCAGAAAGGAAGCTGGGGCAGCACGGGTTGACATGATCATAAAGACATGCATCATGATTCTTAACCAATTGACCATACATACATACATGCATGCATGCACAGGGCGACGGGTAGTCCGCTGGCTGTAACGTTTACTGCACGGCCAAGCTGGGTCATAGGTCAGCCCTATATCAGAGATATTCTAACGACGAGTTCGAATATGCTTATGTAACGATATGTGAACCACCCAAAAACATCAACAAGAAAAAGCAAATGTGCTTTTACAACATGCGGTTTCATTGGTTGTGCTTCCTCGACGCGCATACCTGGCGATGCCGGCCATTTTTGGACAAATGTTTCGGAGTTGGGACAAGTCCAGGCCTCGATCCCGGATACTGTGCAGAATGCGCGCCGGACGACAGGCTTGTGGTCTCGCGAGCCACCAAACTAATCCGCCACTAAACGGAGTGTCGGTAGCGCCCGTCGTTACCCCGCTGTGCCAAATAGCTCTGAGATGACACGGCCAGAGTCTAGCCGAGATAATCCCCTGAAGGCTTATGAATGAGGCGATGAAGTTTCATGCCTGCCGCACGGCGTCCGTGTAGTGAGAGAGAAGAGAGACGTCTCGTCAGAGAGAGATAGTCTCGGTAATTTCGTCGCGCTGAACCTAACGGCGGGGTTCTGTGGCTCGACGAGCGCCGTGAGTCTGACCCCTGACCCGCCGAGTGGCACATGGCGATAAGCACTGTGCCTTTCTGGTGAGTTATAATGATCCTCTCTGCTGAGCTCGCGGGCGGCACCATCACGACAGCTGGCTTCACGCTGTCGGAAGGGTTCAGTGGCGCGCATAATTCTCAGAGGAATCAGTGGACTGCGCCCATGGCAGAGACTCGGGATTTCACAAGCTGCAATGCAGTCTGTGAAATGTTGACCGTTGTGTTGGATTTTGTGTGCTTTACGAGCTGCTGTCTATATTTACATCCTGGGCATCGCTTCCGCGAGTGTCTGGCAGTCAATCACAAATGCCTGTCGATCACAAGCCAAGCATCGATTCCTCGTTGGCAGTGGTGATGCCCTGCCGAATAAGCCATGGGTCTCGCCAGATCATCTCTAGCTGCCCAACACCGCGCGGACGGCATTTGTTTTGTTCTGTTTTTTACCATCGGAACAGCGGGCGGGCGTCAGAAACTGCTGCGGCTGTCGTTCCCTCAGGCTTGCTAGGGGTTATGGCAGTGTTGCAGCCACGTTGAACAGCTGATGTATCGCGCCGCGCGTGTCACTGGCGTGTTATCGGTGTGTCACTGGCGTGTCATCGACGTGTCACCGTGTGTATTCGGATATGTTGAGTGATATCGCTCGATGGCAGCTGCGCACGTGCGCACGTGCGCACGTGCGTGGTAACGCGCAGCTGTGTGGCCAGGATAGACATCGCCGACTGTTGCCGGTCGCTCGACGAAGCCGATGTCGTCAAGCAATGAATTATGGATAGTCGTAGGAAAGAAACATACCTACAGCCGAATCAGTCTGCTACACCCATGCTCGCTTGATTTCGGCCCCCAGACAAAGAAGTTCAGCAGCAGTAACTAAATTAGCAGTGATGATGCCGGTACGAGAACGAAATATTTAACAACAGGTATAATCAAAATATCAAAATCGATAAGACCTTTAGCAATTTCGGACATCGTGAATCAAAAAAGAGAATCCAATGTTATCACCATTGTGCTGTCACAAATCATTTGACACAGGAAAAAAAGGTAGCATTGCCTTGGAATGTCAGGGTCCATCACATTCGCATCGAATAATGCGTGTAGTGTCGTCCAAGGCCCATGAGATCGCGACAGCAGCCCATTGTTCTCTATTATCAAGTCTGAGGTCAAAGGTGTCATAAATGCTGAATGACCATGTGAATCAGATCGAACTGCTTTATCTATGCCCGGAAAAACGATCAACAATCCACGAACATAAAAACGCAATCGATGGTTCTCGGAAGACATTCAGCATTCATTCAACAAGGTTGAATAAGGACTGAGGGTGATTCGTCGAGGCGTTCCGCTTCCAAAATCATTTATTTGAATAACAAAGGAGTGAGGTCAAGCGATAAAGTGAAAACATTTGAATTGAATAATGAATGTGATACGTTCTGCCACTTTGCTAATGAGACAACGTCAACCTAACGTAAGAATATCGAGCAATCAGTGAGTGTTTACGTATGAAATTTCACAAAGATAGATTGGTAAATGTGAGTTGAATAGTCTCATGAGGTATGAGACTGACGGTCCCAGTAACCACATGAGACAAAGGGAGCCACATAGGTTCTCAAATGAGATTGACTGCCCCGGTACTCACATGAGGCTGACGTTCTGCGGTGCTCACTTACGAATAACGGTGTGGGTTCTTAGTTCAAGTTCTTACATGAGACGGCCTGCGGTACTCACACGAGGCTTACGGTCTGGATACTCACATGAGGCTGACGGCGCCGGGCAGCGTCTGCGGCACGGCCGTGATGTTGGCGCCGTGGCAGATACACTCGAGCAGCTGGTCGGCAGCGCTGTCGGTGGAGTTACAGCACGCGCAGCCGGGCTGCAGGGTGAGCCAGCCGCCGTGGGCGGGCCTCTCGGGCGGACTACACTGGTCGCGCCACGTCACCAGGTCCTCAGAGAGCCGACAGCACGCCCAGCGCGCCATCAGCTGCCGCAGCGGCAGCCGGTGCTGCAGCTGCCCGAACGGAGGACGCTCCGCAGAGGACGGCGGAGGCGGGGGAGGCGCGGCCGGCGGCGAAGGCGCGTGCTGACCCACGCGGTCCGACATCTCTAACAGGGTGAACACCTCGCCAGAGCGGAGCGCCTCGAACGGGTCGGCGCTGCTGGGCGGCGTGCGCGCTGTCCAGGCGGCCTGACCGCGGCAGGCGGGGAACACCGCGCAGAGAACGGTCAGCAGAAGAGCGGCGTGGGTCGGGAGGTGACTCGGGAGGCTCATGGCGGCGACGACCGGTCACTGATAGCGCAACGAGCCCTGATGTGGGACACTGCCGGACAGACGGGCAGGAGGGTCAGTTATGACAGGCGGGAAAAAATAATGTGACGGGTGTGCCAGACAGACAGACAGACAGACAGACAGACAGACAGACAGACAGACAGACACGACAGGCGGACACATATACTCGTACGTGTATGATGTCGTCGTGGAAGATTTGTAAATTTAGTGTGGCAGTGATACCCAGCAACGCCCAGGATTAAAACTTCATATTAACTTTTACGACCTATTCACAGTAATAAGATTCCATTAGCTTATTAGTCACTGCAAAGTCATAACCTCATAAGGGCGCGTAGACATTGAGCCAGGCGCATAGCAATAAAGGTGGCACGAGTTACGCTTTGCCCCATGGGTCACCGCCTGGTATGTATGTCATGCTGAACCCAAGGCGCTGAAATTTGACTCATGAAAGTACTTTTCATTAGCACAGTTGGCGTGTTTTGCGCTTGTATTGCAAGTGAACATCGAAAATGACACAGGCATTCGAGTAGTAATAGTGATGATTTATATTTACAACTTCGATAGTTTTACATTCAACAACGTTCAGGCAAACGTAATCCCGCATCGCTAATGGGTAAAATATTCTTATTTGGGATTTCATTTTTCTATTATGGCTACCTAGCACTCAACGGTTAGCCTAGATAAGTTACTTTTGTTAAACGGTTCGTTGTCATAGCAAATTATATAAAAGCAAATGAGCTGAGCCTTTTTGTCCCGTTGTCAAGTTGGCCTTAACCCTCGCCCTGGCAGGGGGGGGGTCGATGCGACCCCCCCCTAAGGTTTTTCGAGGATAGCGTAAAAACGGCGGCGCGCAGCGCCGCCAAATTTGGCACAGCCTATGGGGCAACCTTTTTACATATGACCTGAAAATTTCAGGTCCGGGTGACCTTGGGTCAGGTCACCAGGTCAGAAAAACCGGTACAAGGTCATGGTCAAATTTCAATTTTCTTTTTGCACCTGTCCAACTCACAGTTTTTCACTGATTTCCTTCAAACTTTCAGGATGTGCTAAGGTCACCGAGTTTTATAACATATAGTTCGGGTTTTTTGAGGTCACTGACCTGAGGTCAGTTAGAGGTCATAACGTCGTAATGTTAAGCCTATGGGAAAATACTAAATTCGGAAAATACTGGAGATATCCGCTTCGTTCTATCACTTTTGTGCTTTGAAACCACAGTACTTAACAGCAGGTCACTTGGTGCTTCTTTGTTTGGTGTACTTATCCATGGGTCAGGTCAAATGAGGTCAACTGAGGTCAAATGACGTTTTTGCCAATAACTTGGCACATAATGACGCTAGAGCTTAAAAAATGGTATCATTGTGTTCCTGGTGATCAGCCGAATCGAATGATATGCGATATGATGCAATTTGGTTAGCTTTAACTTAATTTATTAATTTAAGTTTACTTAAAATTTAAGAAAAACTTTAAGTACACTTGAGCAATCTAAAAAGTATATCATTCGACGCGCCTTGACGTGCTGAGTTCACTGGTGCTTTTCTTTTTGCTCTATCTTGATTAGATCAAAAGTTATAAGCGAAAAACTTTTGACCTGTTTTTAGCGAAATTTTTACATTTATACCCCCCAAAACCCCCCTAAATATTGACCTAGAGCAACCAAATTTGCACAGGGGCGAGAACTCCAGGGGGCCCACCTACCTACCAAATTTGGTGTTTCTAGGTGCCATAGGAGCCAATCGCGAGGGGGGGGGGGGTCGCATCGACCCCCCCCCTGCCAGGCCGTGTTATGAAAAATGCCCTGCCAGGGCGAGGGTTAAAATACAAATTACATTTTGAAGCAAAGTAGGCACCCGCAATGTAAAATGCAGAAACAACCGGGATGGGCGGAATGCTGGAATGTCTGGCACCATAAAACATTAGAACCCCTTCAGTTGTATACAGAAACGGAAAACTCAGTTACTTTTCAAAAGATTGCCGTATCTTTTCAACGCTCAACAACTGACGTCAAATGCAAATCCAGCACCGTACATGAATGAAATTGAGCTCAGAATCTAGTTTGCTCTAAAGCCGGAATACTGAATACTGAATAGTCATATATGTATACAAATTCAACATGAAAAGCTTAAACACGTTTACCTGCCTGCAACTTAAATTGCAACTGTAACTTTTAAGGTTTTCACTCATTTAATTTTCATTTTATCCTGACGGTAAGTTCTACGAGTAAGGATTACAGCCGAGGAAAATATTAGATTTGTCACAGGATCAGCGGGGGCGAAATTATCCCTCTGCAAAAAGTTTCGGCGGCGCCGCGGCGACGTGGCAGCTGTCCAAATTAGTATCCGTCTCGCCGCCAGCTCCGGGCGGACGCGGGCGCTGCGGCCGCCCTGTCCCCACGAACAGACAGGGCGGGTGGCTCACCTCGCTCCCAGAGTGAGATTGCCCTAACCATAAGACGGGTGGGCTGCCTCAGACTCCTTACCTGTGTGAGACTGCTAGTCTGTATGGTGCCCATTGTGTCCGAAAATTCCTATCAATCAAGCTCCTGTTGTTGATTGATTGATTGATTGATAATTGATTGGAAGGATTGATTGGAAGGATTCGGAAGAAGATACGCGGAATATGTAGGTCTGTCCGAACCCTAGTCCGTCCAAGATCTCCCTAAAATGAGACTCTCCAGCCTATCAACATGTTGTCAAAGTCTCCCGGTCGGTCCCCATGGCCATTCATGTAAAGTCCCCTGGTTTGTCTAAACCAGCCGTCAGGAGCGTAAGTGGTCGTGTGAACCGGTCTTTAACCGCAGCCCGTCCGCGGAGCCACACGGAGGTACCTCAGTCACACAGTAGTGCCGCACCACACCGCCAATCGCTGAGAGCTCGTCGCGCCACGGATAGGTACCCTGTTGTGGTGCAGATGCTATCTGTGACAAGCGTCAGATCGGGCATTTAAGCTGGTCGAGCCAAACTAATTGACGGTGTAGAACAAGCCGGCTTTGTCGTCAGACCGGATACTTTGCGCGGTTTTGTGGCCAAATCATGTTTTGTCCACAGATGCTGGACTCATCGAGCAGACAGAGAAACACACAATCTACGAGGTAATGATAGTGATAATTTCCCATTAGTGGCTCTAAGCTGTTCTTTATACACACGACATTGCCACTATTTGGCAGTAATGAGTTGTTTATTGGTGAGATGAGGATAAATACAAAGACAAAGCCATGCAATATTGTTCAGTGATCGACATTTAATGTTAAGCGTAACCTTTTACGTGGGTTTTTAATGAGAGTAGTCTTGGCTGCACGAATACATAGTGAAATGCTAAGCTTTTTTAAGTTCGGAAGGCAATATCATCAACATAGTTCATAGTTATTAGCTTCATCCCATGGCTGGTTTGAATATAATCCGTCAGCAATCACCTTTTGCTCCACATTAGCATGAATGACTAAAACAGAGTACCTTTGGGAACGCCATCGGAACGTCATCAGGCTGAGAAAAACTCCCGCCGCCGTCGGGGCTTGAGCCGCAGACCTTGTACAGATGAGTAGCATGGCACGCATCCCGTGTTAAGGAAGCTCGTCCATTACCACGGTGGGCTAGTCCATCAGCTTGTGTCGATTTTCCTCTCTACTGGGATATTGGTAAATAAGCAACAGAGACCCGGCGTTACCAACGTACCACGTTTGTCTTTCTCTTTCTAGATCGTTGAAGCGTCTAGCCTAGAATATTTCAATGCCTAAATCAGTTTAAGAAGTACAGGATGAAAGATCCGTTTTTTATGACGGCGTATTTGTTGAAGAACAAAGACCAGCAGATATTGAATATTTTTCGTGATATTGGAAAGCAGGTTCTGTTTTTTTCGAATGTGTAACTACCGTGTTGTTGGTTGGCAGGGTGGAGAGCATATCATCCAAAGCGTGTTATTGCGTCACAAAAATTAAACTCACCCTTCCCGACGCAAACACAAACAGGATGTGGCCGATGGAATAAACACTGCCAGTGACCAGAGCTTACGCAAATTAAATTCCTATAAAAATCTTTTGCTTCGCTTCTTCGGGCTTGCATCTAATTACGTTCAGCTCACAAAGGCGTAGGTATGTCACAATGGGAAAATTCAGGCACCTACCTTTTTCACATTTCAGCATTTTGCTCTTCATAACTGTTCCTGAAAAAAATAAGAATAAATATAAAACAATTATTTTCTGTCCGTAAGGGCTCTTGAAGGTATGCAGAAAGTTGCTTTGGAATTATTTCTGATAAATAACTTGAATGCCTGCATCCATTGTTCATTGTAAGTTTAAGTTCAGCATTGATAAAATTCATCACTTTGTGGGATGTTATACCAGGCCAATGAAATATTGTATTCGCATGCTACCATCCACACAATATGTGACAAAGGACGACTGTTTTGTATGAATAGCGTGCATTCATCAGTCTTTATTGTGTGAAATGATCATATTTCGTGAGATATATGTCGACAGGAAGTGTCGATATTTTGATCAGCTGCGCGCTTGTCATATGTGAGCAACGGTCCGTCATATTGAGGCATTTTCCAGATCCGGGACTTCAAAGGCATTAGAGACTGCGATTTGTAGCCATTTGCATAAATGATGAGATCGGAAATGGCCATCCGACTATTATGGCCGGTGACTGTGCGGCAGTCGGTCCATTGGATGGAAGGCTGAACACTTTTTGAATGGGTAACCGCCGCGTTGTCGGTTAGCGATTTATTCCGCAAGTTTGCGTAGTTTGTTTGGTCAATGGAAGGCACAATGGGCTCTGATTGCTACCAGA